AAATGTAATTACAGTTAGTGCCAAAATTAATTTAATTGTGCTGTGCCCATGCATGATCATTGCGGGTAAGCAGCAACAACAACCTAGGCATATCATTACAACTTCGAAACTAAATACTGATTGCAACATCATTCTTAGCTCTTTATCTAAAAAAGTTTAAAAAAAGAAAGAAAATACCACAAAAGAAATAATTAACATAGTGTTGCACTCATGCATAAAACAGTTAGTCAGAAACTTCCAAAGGCAATAACTTTGAAACTAAGTCCGACCGAAAAATTCTGTTTGGACCATCATTTTTAAATAGTTAATATAAAAAAATAAAAAATAGTTATTAAAAAATATTCAGTGTGGTTAAGTGCATTTTAGGCTCTGTATACTTTTATWTGTACTAATATTTATTTAAGCTTACAGAAAATAAAATGTAAGTAATTAAATTTTAAAACCTTACGTCATAAATCTCATGTAGAGAATATACGCTTGTTCCAAATTATTTTCTTTCATATACACATCAGCCATACTGATCATCTCTTTTCCTGATCGGTAATATCTATAACAAAATACAATTATTGTATTTTATACTGTATACTAAATAGTACAACATCATACTTTCTAGCAGCTATATTTGTGTTCAACTCGATTTTTGAACTTAACATCAACAATTGTTGAATCCTTTTTTCTGGTTTTTCTTTAAAATTGTCTATACTAGTTAGATTATGACTCATGTTTGATTTATATTTTAAAATCAAATTCAATTTTGTATGAAATGCTTAACTATCTTAAAAGACAACAACTTGTATAAATAATAAAAATRACTGTGAACAATATGAGATTCGAGTACAAAATGATAATGACATATTTTTTTTTGGCTTAGAGARGTGCGTTACTGAGTTAATACTTACTACTTYATACTTTTAGTACTTTAGTAGTTTAGTGTTAGTGTTAGTACTTAGTAGTTACTAGTTAGCACCACGGAATACAGATTAATAGATAATATAATTTCTATATCAGTATTACATTAGATAGTGTTATCTTTATTCCTGGTCGAAAGCACAGCTGCAGCAGGCTGCTCATAGACATATAAATAAAAATTAAATATAATATAATAAATATAATATTTATATGTCTATGCTGCAGCTGCTGCTAATAAACCAGTCCGTAGAATAAACTATTAAACTAACTCAAACTATTCTATTCTGTGATACAGCGTCTGTGTAATATAATCA